AAAAAAAACCTGGGCCTCGGTGGGACAGCTCCCCAAGATCCCTAACACCTCATCTATGCTTAAGATCACATTTTCAAACGTCTCCATGGCTGCCCAAGCTCTCTCTGAACGTTTCACACACGTTTCCCACTGTTGGACCCTGCTACTCCTATAATCATACCATCAAGGATAAAAATTTTTAAAAAATTAGACATTGGCAACTGGTGGTGCTGGAACAGTAAAGTATGCCTGAAAAATAAACCTTTTCACTTCACACTCACCCAAAGTTTTGAGTTCATCAAGCCAATACGTTTCACCTTCAGTAACAAGACTAAACTATATCAAGACTCGACAGACGATGCAACATTCCCCCAATGAAAAGCAGGGGTGTCACTAGCACGTTAAGAGACAACACAATAAGTGTCAGGGGCCCAAGACTGTTCAACTGCCTCCCCATACAAAAAGGGGATTACCAATGACCTCTGGTGTCTTAAAGCAGGCACGGAAAAAAAAAAAAGCACTAAAGTCGGTACCTGACCACCCGGGCTGGGGGTTTCGTATGGACTGCATGCAGCCAGCAGTAACGGCTGGTTATCGGGCCCTGATCCCCCATGAGCCGGCCAGCCCGGGCCAGGGGGGCTTTGATCCCCGTAACCTTCAGGTAAATTCCGGTTCCAGGAGCTTCAAAAATTTGAAAATGGCTCCCTCAATTTGCCCCCTCAATTACCCCAATAACTTCACCTGTGTGCTGCCCTCTGATATTTCTCCGCTTACCTTCCCTGCGCCCTAGAAACTCCCCGGCTTTTCAAGACTCAAGACCTAAATACCACGAAACGATGCATACGTTTGCCCTTCCTATTTTCTCCAGTTGTCCCACAAAGGCCCTAGCAGATGGATTACCCCGGCTTTTTTTTTTCTTGTGTGGACACCTCTCCCCCGCTATTCTTCCTTTCCGTTTTCCCCAGATCCCCCTACACGGGGTCTTCCCTGTACTCTTTGATTTTGATTAATTTGCTGTGAAAACATGACTGATTTAAGTGAATGCCTTGAATGATTTTCTAACGAAAAACGCTCCCCTACTAAACCGGGGGATGAGAACATCGTGTAACTGAAATGGAATGTGAAGAAGTTGCAGGGAAAATTTAGCTTCCGCACATGGAATTGGGAGGGCAAATATAAATCTTTGGGAAAACCTTCCATTTTTGCAGGGGAAAATAAAGGTGGGGCAAATAAGGGAAAAACCCAAAAGTAGTGTATAGAGAGACAAAAAGGAGTGTATAAATGGGGAGGGGGGGGGGCGACGATTAAAAAAATTAGCCATATGATTCCATGGCCGTTTATGAGTAGGTGGGGGGAAAAAAGACATTGTGTACAGTTCAATGCTTTAAATTTACGGAAATTTTTGTAACAAGTATATTGCTCAGTTCTGTCTCTTTTCCTACTTACGCCAAAATCTAAAGATGTTTATTGTTACACAAATCCAAATTTGAGAGTGGGGAGGGGGGAAGTACAGTGCCTGCAATCAAGGGATGGGCAGGCATGGTAATAAGAAGTTTTTTTAGGTTACCCAGATACGTTCAAGATTACATATAGCGCATATTTGTAGGGAACCTAGGAAAACCCCAAAAAAGTCAAGTGACTTTTTCCTTTGGGGCCCTTTGTGTAAGTTTATTTATTGAAAAGTTAAAAAAAGGTATTTAACTATATAAAAGCATTTTAACAATAGGGATATACTGGGGAGAGGTAAAACTCATTGACTTTAAAAGACAGGATAATTTATAAAGTACTTTTCCCCTTTCTTTGGGGTTTTCATAAGGTACAGTTTTTGGTCTCTACTTGAAATGGTTCATGCTATGACGGGGTTTTACATGTGAAAGGCAGTTTTTCCACTTTTTTTGCAGTAAAAAAAAGGTGTTTAAGCTGACCATGACTCTAGGTAGCAAAAAATTTTTCTTCCTTTTCCCCTAGTTTTAATTCTAATGGTTCCGGCCTTTACAAAATTTGGCGTAAGATATTGGGGGCACTTGTTGCGTTTTTGTTGTTTTACTGTTTTAAAATTTAGCATATTCAGTTGTTGTAAGGGAAGTCATTCGAAATGTGTGTCTGCACACTTTTGTAGCTCCCGTCACCTGTCGTTCCCTTTTAGCTCTCCATAGACAGTAAAGGTGACAGAGATCAGAGGTTTGATGATGTGGTGCCACTTACCAAACCACCTTTTTAACCTGCATTTTCAGTTTTTGTATGATCAGGCATTTTTTGGAAGATAACGCCTCCCCATATCTTCACTGCTAACTCAATTTTCACGTCAAGTTTCAAAGTATTGGTTGTTTTGGTCTTCCGAAAATTTTTCGACCTAGCGATTTTTTTTTCCCTACCCATAAATCATTCCCCTTTTGGGGTTTTAATAATATATTTTTTTTTTGACTTTAGGGGGCCCTAAAGGTTGGTTGGGGAAGACAATCGAATTCGATATGGAAAAGTAGGTCAAAACCTTGGATCAAGGACCTTTTCCCCCCCTTTTCCTGGTTACGGTCGTCCGCATTTAAGTTCATTTAAAAAGGTGCATGATTGACATTCAGGGTAGTGAAGACGTCACATGATAAAAAACGTAAGTTAGTATCTTAGCAAAACGTCTTGCCTATATTCAGGTTCTTTAGTCGTGGAGGCGAAATATTTCAGCAATAAGGATAGTAACTGTTACACATGTTTCTACTCATCAAATTGTTGGTATTTATTTACCATTATTAGGATGGATGCATTTTTATATTGGAGCGATTGTATAATAATATAAACAAGTTATGGTGTGAAAATTTTCTTTACTTTTCCTTATCGTCGGGGACGCTTGTTATCATTTCTGAGGTGATTTTACAAAACCAAGATGAGTTAGACGAAACATCAGCGAATTGGAGCCGTTATCACTTGCGGGGGGATGGCACACAAGTTATTTATTTAGTTGTAGATTAAGTTTTGTCGACTACCGTGAGTTTAAAGTTGAAATTCGCTTTTAAACTAACACCAATTTTTTTAGTGTCTGAAAAGGTAAGGTTATAAAATTTAAATTTTATTTTTTAAAATGAGATGCACCTTCTCGATATACATGTTCTCAGTTTATTTCCTGGAGAGATTCCGGGGGCCGCCCCCCCGGCCCGGTCTGCGACCGGCGGCCATTGGTGGATCAGGGGGCCTGATCAACCAGGTGTAGGGCTGCACGCGGGCCAACTACGAGCCACAGGGGCCCGGTTGGTAAGTAAAAAACCCACCTTTAGGTGGTTGTCCAGTGCCTGCTTGAAAAGCCGGGGTCTATTGGGAACCCCCTTTTTTATGTGGGAGGCAGTTGGGAAAGTCTTGGGCCCCCAACAGGCAGCGGCAGGAACCCCCCGCTTTATTGGGGGGTTCACGTTGGATTCTTTTTTTCGGGGTGTTTTCGTGTGCAAGTTTGGTTTTGTCCCTTTTTAAATGTCAAAGTATTTTATCCACAGTGGAATAGTACTATTCTGGAAAAATACCATGACTTTGCCGACTGTAGATAACGCATAACTACTTAAACTTTTGTTTTCTGTTACCTAATTCATGTCTGCATAACTTATTAAGGTAATAATCAGATAAAAACATGTAAATAATTCGTTACCACTAATAACTTATTCAGCTATCATGCCCATGCACTCTGCCCCAGGGCCAGACTCATGGAACTCCGTGTTTATTTATTTATTAATTTGAACATGATACAGAGAAGTACAAAGGAATACAGTTATTAAAGTGCAACATGCCAGAGCCCCTTGTATGCAGAGCATTATGGGCAGGCTTAAAATTAACTTAAGATTAACTAAGCAATGATATATTCAGTGGTAAAAACATTATTGTAAACAGATAACAATTTAGCACAAATGTGTGGTGTGTGTGTGTGTTGTGTGTGTGTGTGTGTGGGTGTGGGTGTGGGTGTGCGTGCTTGTATGCATATGCATGTATTGTGCCAAAACAAAAGCATTCACATTGCTAAACTCACAAACTAGTATTTAGTCACTTAGTATTTAGTCACTTAGTATTTAATCAACTTACTCCACAATTTGTAATAATTTAGGGTTACGAATTAATCTAAGGTTGCCCGAAATGCCTAGCCTTGATAGGTGTTCTAGTGGCCTCCTCTGTAATTAGTATTTTATTACATGTAAACCACACAATAACCAAAATCTGTAAACCCCGCATTGTAATCCTTATAGAGAATAAATTTTGATTTGATTTGATATATTTGTACGCTCGTGTGCATGTCTGTGCGTGCGCCCTCGTGTGTATGTGTGCGCGCGCGCTCGTGTTTACCTGGAGAGTTCCGGGGGTCAACGCCCCCGCGGCCCGGTCTGTGACCAGGCCTCTTGGTGGATCCGAGCCTGATCAACCAGGCTGTTACTGCTGGCTGCACGCAAACCAACGTACGAGCCACAGCCCGGCTGGTCAGGAACCGACTTTAGGTGTATGACCCACTTAATATTTGTATTTATAACTCATTACAATTGTGACTGAGTGTGGACGTATCAGTTGGATTTATTAATTTTTGTAATTTGTTCATGACTGTAAACCATTTATAGGAGTGTAAAAAATGGTTCATAACCTTTGTAACTTGCCATGATTGTGACCAGATCTACCTGGAGTTCATTACCTTTGTAACTAGTTCATCTATCATAACTTTGAGGTCCAGTCCCTGGACCCATTATGTACCTTTGTAATCTTTTGACTACCGCCCACACCATGGGTATGGGGTGCATAATGAAGATATTAAACTAACTCACTCTGTACAGGAGGTTCTGTCGTTTTCTTGTGAGACACTCATTTATGTATATATCTTTTTTTTTTTTTTTGCTTTAATAGATGAAATTATTAGACTTTTTTCCTGTCTTGTGTGTGAAATCTAGCTAACACTTTTTTCTACTTTGATTCCCTAGTAACCCGCGATTTTTTTTATCTCCGACACTGTACATAACCTGTAGGTGTCCACGTATGACTGGAGAGTTGTTATCTGCAGTTGGAATGGTTTAATTCGCTGGGAAAGAGTGGAGTGTTAATTACTACTGCATCAGATAATTTGTCTTGCTCTGCCTTATTATCTTGGTTAGCAAAATAATTGTTCAATTGGGTATCCATGTTTATTTTCCAGTTCTTGACGGCATTATTCAATCCTTCGTGTTTAGGGGAAGTTATTTGATGTGTACTCACCTATTTGTGGTTGCAGGGGTCGAGTCATAGCTCCTGGCTGGTTATGACTGATTGGAGGGTCTTGCCAAAATCAGTCATGCCAGTTGATGTTTGCTGTTGTTCAAGGTTGTTGATCTTATTCTCAAGGAGAAGTAACTAGATTCATGGTTAGTTGTGGCCCGGTGGCCTGGTGCTAAAGCTCCCTACCGCTTCACACACGAGGGCCCGGTTCGACATTCCCGGCGGTGGAAACATTTCGACACGTTCCTTACACCTCCCGTTTCCTGTCCACCTACAGCAAATAGTACCGGATGTTAGTCGACTATGTGTGGGTCCGCATCCTGGGGGACAAGATTAAGGACCCAATGAAATAAGTTAGACAGTCCTCGATACGCACTGACTTTCTTGGGTTATCCTGGGTGGCTAACCCTCCGGGGTTAAAAATCGGAGGTCAGCTCTGAAAAACTCACACTCACGCGAGCTTTTTAAATCTCTGCACAAAATTTCAATTGAAAACCAGTAAACAAATAATGGAGCCATACTAACTGGAGAATTACACAAGACCTCATCTCACTAACAATGATGCTCTGATAAGAAAGATCACCATATCAAAAACAATATACTCAGATCACAACCATATTGGAGGTCAGTCATGTATGCGCGGAGCCCCAGACCGACCATAATGAAGATTAGTCACGAGGGAGCTTCACCAAATTCAACTCATAACAAAAACATAAAGTGGGACCAAGTAAACCAAGTCCCTAACCGGATATAAAGCTGGGAGATATACTAAGCAACAACAGACCCCAACTTTATGCCAGAACAGATTTAACTCGGTAGCATCGATGTATGCACAAGGCTTATTACTCTAAGAAAAAGAGGAGTCAGATGTAAAATAACAAAAAGAGACAGGCGCTCCCTTACAGGCGACGGAAAGAATAACAGAGCGCTAAAAGAGGTCATATCTCTTATATGCTAGGAGACACTGTCAGAGAAATAGCAAGCATCGAACATAAGCTAAAAGAATCCTTTAGGAGTCAGGAATCGCGGGAAGAACTAAAAGCCAAAATGAAATCGAAAGAAACCCAAAGTATTTCTTCTCCTATCCAAATCAAAATCGAAAAACAACGTCCATATTTGGGGCCCCCACTTAAACAAGATGGGTCCTACACAATGACAACAAGGAAATGAGTGAGCTACTCAAGTCCCAATATGACTCAGTTTTTTGCAAGCCGCTAACCAGACTGAGAGTCGAAGATCAAATGAATTTTTATGAGAGAGCCACAAAATTTGATTAACACAAGCCTATCCGATGGTTATCCTGACGCCAAATGACTTCGAACAGGCGATAAATGACATGCCCATGCACTCTGCCCCAGGGCCAGACTCATGGAACTCTGTGTTCATCAAGAAATGCAAGAAGCCCCTATCACGAGCCTTTTCCATCCTATGGAAGGGAGCATGAACACTAGGGTCGTCCCACAGTTACTAAAAACAACAGACATAACCCCACTCCACAAAGGGGGCAGTAAAGCAATAACAAAGAACCACAGACCGATAGTACTAATATCCCACATCATAAAAATCTTTGAAAGTTTGGTCCTAAGAAGCAAGATCGCCACCCATCTAGATACCCATCAATTACACAACCCAGGGCAACATGGGTTTACAGCAGGTCGCTCCTGTCTGTCCCAACTATTGGACCACTACAAGGTCCTAGATGCACTAAAAGACAAAAAGAATGCAGATGTAATATACACAGACTTTGCAAAAGCCTTCGACAAGTGTGACCATGGCGTAATAGCGCGTAAAATGCGTGCTAAAGGAATAACAGGAAAAGTTGGTAGATGGATCTATAATTTCCTCACAAACAGAACACAAAGAATAGTAGTCAACAGAGTAAAGTCTGAGGCGGCTACGGTGAAAAGCTCTGTTCCACAAGGCACAGTACTCGCTCCCATCTTGTTTCTCATCCTCATATCTGACATAGACAAGGATGTCAGCCACAGCGCCGTGTCTTCCTTTGCAGATGACACCCGAATCAACATGACAGTGTCTTCCATTGCAGACACTGCAAGGCTCCAGGCGGACATCAACCAAATCTTTCAATGGGCTGCAGAAAACAATACGAAGTTCAGTGATGAGAAATTTCAATTACTCCGATATGGTAAACATGAGGAAATTAAAACTTCATCATAGTATAAAACAAATTCCAGCCACAAAATAGAGTGAAAAACTAATGTCAAAGACCTGGGAGTGATCATGTCGGAGGATCTCACCTTCAAGAACGATAACATTGTATCAATCGCATCTGCTAGAAAAATGACAGGATGGATAATGAGAACCTTCAAAACTAGGGATGCCAAGCCCATGATGACACTCTTCAGGTCACTTGTTCTATCTAGGCTGGAATATTGCTGCACACTAACAGCACCTTTCAAGGCAAGTGAAATTGCTGACCTAGAAAATGTAAAGAGAACCTTCACAGCATGCATAACGGGGATAAAATACCTCAATTACTGGGAGCGCTTTAAGTTCCTGAATCTGTACTCCCTGGAACGCAGGCGGGAGAGATACATGATTATATACACCTGGAAAATCCTAGAGAGACTAGTACCGAACTTGCACACGAAAATCACTCACTACGAAAGCAAAAGACTCGGCAGACGATGCAACATTCCCCCAATGAAAAGCAGGGGTGTCACTAGCACATTAAGAGACAACACAATAAGTGTCAGGGGGCCAAAACTGTTCAGCTGCCTCCCAGCATACATAAGGGGGATTACCAATAGACCTCTGGCTCTCTTCAAGCAGGCACTGGACAAGCACCTAAAGTCGGTACCTGACCAGCCGGGTTGTGGCTTGTACGTTGGATTGCGTGCAGCCAGCAGTAACAGTCTGGTTGATCAGGCCCTGATCCACCATGAGGCCTGGTCGCAGACTGGGCCGCGGGGGTGTTGACCCCCGGAACTCTCTCCAGGTAAACTCCAGGTATCAAAAGTTTTCTGTCCAGTCCCTGGACCCATTTTGTCTTAGTAATCTTTTGACTACCACCCACAGGATGGGTACGGAGTGCATAATAAACACATTAACTAGTTTCTTTGATTTTGTGCAAATCAGCAATGCAATTACATTAGATTCAGTTAGGTATATTTTCTGTTTATCAATATGGAAAATTTTATATGGGGTTACCTGTATGTACCTCAACATTACATTCATACACGCAATCTCATTAGGAGGCGACAACCATATATTGTTTACAGTAGTTACCCCGTGTAGACATGTGAGAAAACTTAGCCACCCCTGGTCACTGCAGGTGGCTCCTTCGACCTCACAATCTTGCCCATATCTATCCGAGACCAGTACGAAGTGGATAGCACCCACATGTACGGCGCTACTAATTAATTGTGGACTGTATAGATTATTGGTTTGACTGAAGGAAAGGGGGGAGTAGGTTACACACACGTATATCCATCAAGGGAAAACAGTTGTATATTGTAATACCACCACTTACCAGATTTTCTCTGGTGGTCACTTGATGTAGCTGGATCACCCACAACCTGTCAAATTACAACATACCTAACTGGCCAGTATCAGTTTGCTATAACTAGAAAGGTTACTTAACTGTGGGTGGTTGATGCTCCTTATTTCCTCCATTCAACATCTCCTTTCGAAGTCTTGCTAGGTTGATATGATGCAACCTCAGCAAGAAGCTATTTCCGATTTGTTTTGTTCCAATACAGGCGGCTGTACTCATTTAAACTCTCCGTGGATATCGGAAATGGAAGGCCAGGTTACCAGGCGCCCACATTCAATTCAATTCAATTCAAAGTTTATTCTCTATAAGGATTACAATGCTGAGTTTACAGAATTTGGTTATTGTATTGTTTACATGTAGTAAAATAATAATTACAGAGTGTACCACTAGAACACCTAGCATGGCTAGGCATTTCGGGCAGACTTAAATTAAATCTTAAGTTTAAAATATTACAAAATTATGAGAATTAAACCTTAAGTTTAAAATATTACAAAATTATGAGGTAAGTTCGTATTATGGCTAAGTGACAAAATACTAGTTTGTGAGTTTAGCAAGTAATTCTTTTGTTTTTGTGCACTATACATAGGTTCGTATGGAGTATCACAGGCCAACTTATGACTAGTTAAGATTCATTATTTTGAGATTGAGATTGATATTTCTGTTTATGGTCAAATGGGTGAGTGAGTGTAAGTGTTAACCACCAGGTAGTATTCGTGTAATTAGTTGACAGGGTGTATCAGGGAGATAAGAATTGTTTTCTGATGGTATTTTTGAAGGTGATGAATGTTTCTGCAGTTTTAGAATTTTCAGTAGGTGTCCAGATTTTAGGGCCTTTGAAATACCATTGAATATTTGTAAAGGTTTAGTCCGACACAGGGATGTCATAGAGATGTTTGTGTCTGGTATTGTGCCTGTGGTTCTGTCGCAACTATCAGAAAGCGTTTTTAGGTCAAGGATAAATATTGGAATTTTAAGGTCCTGTAGATGTAGGATTGCACAGAGTAAGTGTGGATGTACTGAACAGGGAGTAAGTTATTAGATCTATGAAGAGTGGGGAGGGGGGGGGTGTTGCCGGTGGATGGGATTTATTGGGGGGGGGGAATTTTTATTCTTAACTGTGGTGCTTTTTGTTGGGTTATTATTGGCTTTTGTGTGTTGTAGCATGAACCCCAAGCGACATATAGCAAGGTGTAGGTATGGATAATATAATGAATGGTAAACGTGTGATAAGGGTCAGTTTGCGGCACGTAGTATATCGTATCTTTAGAGGATGCCCCCACCGTTTGGATACTTTTTTGGTTAAGTTGTTGGATATTGGGTGCTGAAGTTCCAGGTTGTTGTCGAGGTATAGGCCTAGGAAATTGCCTCATATGCCTGGCAATTAAGTGTTGTCGATCTTAATGTTAATTTGCGCATCTCCTGCTCTTCTACCAAACATAAATGTAGTAGGTTTGTCAGTGTTAAGCGTACGTTTATTGCTGTCATCCAAGACTATATTTTGATCAGCTCCTCATTAACAATGGTGATTGAGGGTGGCAATATAGGGTGAGTAATGACATAAGTCGTGGTCGTCATCAAAGAGAATGGGTGCACATCTGGATATCCGTTAATTGTAGTAGACGTTTTCGCCATCCATGGCTTTATCAATACAGATTCCTAGACATAATAGGAAGATCAGTAGAACTATATACAAAAGATGAGTTTAATCAGTCCCTCTGCCTTGGAGTTATGTTCACAGCATCGGGGGGGGGGGGGGGGGGGGGGGGGGGGGTGGAGGAGAATCTGGACTAAGACAATAAGACTCGGTTAATATAGGCGTCAGTGATAGGGACGGCAGCAGACGAGGCAAAGTCACTGGTATGGGGCGGGATTCCCGAGTGGAAGTATGTCTTCCCAAAGAGATTGGTTAGTTGCCGCAGCCGTGAAGTCTTGTAGATGTCCACTGAACCAAGATTCCATGATGTTCAGTGTCTGACAAGTAGTGGCAAGGAAGGTATAAAATACCGACAATATGAAAGTAAGACACATGTGCAACACCTGGATATCTTTAAATGTAGTAGACGTTTCGCCATCCAGTGGCATTATCAATACATATTCTAGGACATAAAGGAAGACAGTAGAACTATATACAAAAGATGAGGTAAACATCCATCGTCCTTGGATTAGTGTCACTTAGCAATCGTGTTGGAGAGAAACTGGAGCACAGACAATAAAGATATCTAAGATGTAGCACATGTGTCTTAACTTTCATATTGTCGGTAATTTTAATACCTTTCCTTGCACAACTTGTACAGACCCTGCAACATCATGGAATCTTGTTCAGAAGACCTCTCAAGACCTTCAACGCTGCTGCAACTAACCCATCTCTTTGGGAGGACCTACTTTACACTGGGGAATCCCTCCTGACCATGACTTAGCCCGTCGTCCTGCTGCCCGTCCCTATCCACTGACGCCTATAGTAAACCGCCAGTCTTCTTGTCTTTGCTCCAGATTCTCCTCCACCACGATGCTGTGAACACTAACTCCAAGGCCGAGGGACTGATTACCTCATCTTTTGTATATAGTTCAACTGTCTCCTAGTATTCCTAGAATCTAATTGAATATAGCCACTGGATGGCTAGAAACGTTACTACAATAAAGATATCCAGATGTTGCACATGTGTCTTAACTTTCATATTGTCGGTATTTTATACCTTTCTTGCACAAAGAGAATGGGGTTCAGGTGTTGAGATACGTTTGGAAGATCATTGATGTATATGAGGAAGAGCAGGGGAGCCAAGGACACTTCCTGCTGACCTCCAGTATCAAGTGGCTGTGTTGTTGATGCTGTGTCTTTAATGGTGACATACTGATACCTATTAGTAAGGTAAGATTTGAAATATGCAAGCGCATGGCCTCTTATACCATAATGGTCAAGTTTGTGGAGTAGGATGCCGTGGTCTACTGTGTCAAAAGCTTTTCTTAGGTCAATAAAAATTCCTAGTGGATATTCCTTATTTTCCAATGCTGTGTAAAGCAGATCTAGCATTTTTATGATTGCATCGTTAGTGCTTTTATTTTTCCTGAATCCAAATTGGCAGGGGTTGAGTATGTTTTGTGCCGTTATAAATGAATATAGTCTCCTGTGCACGAGTTTCTCAAAGATTTTGGATAGCAATGGTAAGTTTGATATTGGCCTATAGTTGTTTAAATCTGTAGGGTCACCACCTTTATGTATTGGTGTAACCCTTGCCGTCTTGAGTAGTTTCGGGAATGTGCTAGTTTCTAGTGACTTGTTAAAAAGTAATGAGATAGCATGCGAGAGGACATTGGAATTTCAATATGGTGAACTCTTTATTTCACCTAATATCACTTTGACTTGTCCCGATTTAGGAGCCGTGACTCCGTAAACTCCGTGTCCCTCGTACATTTCCATGTGTTCACTCGGAGAACGGCGACTCATTTCACTTCACACATTCTCTTAACTTAGTATTATTATCACCGATTACATTACAGTTCAAAAGACGATTTAACGCCTCATGAATTTTACACACGTTAGAGGTCGACACATTAAGATTTGAGACCGATGAGTGATGATTAAATCACGGGTCTTTTCCCCTGAACACTCCATGGCGTCACGCCATCTCCCCCCGGCGTCTACCATTATTCACTAATTTTACCGCTTTATTACAGTGGTCCCGTAAATCACGTTCCTCACTCTTCACCAGGAACAGTTACGACACTTCCTATTACGAAGTGAGGCCTATATTAATCCTTAGACAGCCGTGGACGCCAATTTCCTGGTCCCATTTTTTCCCAGCCTCTTAACTCCATTCAAAATACTCCCGCCACACCCGTCTCCACCTCTTCCCTCCCATCCGGAAAGGCGCAGAGGTTCCTTGTTGGTTCTCTTCTTTATAATACACTTTAGAACAACAGTAATGCATTGATCATGTATATTTACATTATAAAAAATATGCAGTATAATTCTGGGAAATTATTTTCCACAATGTGAGGTTAACACCTTAATGGCGTGGGTAGTCCGAGGTAGTGAGGGTAATTGTTGAAATATCTTTGTTTCATGACAGTGCACTCTTACTGGCTATGGCTATTAAACCATCAACCTTCTGCCAAAATATAAGTATTATTTGATCGCTTTTAACACCAAACTAACTGACCAGGTTCATTTTAAGTGAAGTGTTATAATTTTTTCATGAGTGCTTAATCCGCTGCCGGTTTTGTAACTAACCTCTCTGTCTCATGCTATCACAGCAGTTCTGTGACGCAGACACCACCATAGATTCAGGTTCAAGATACGGTCATCAGAGGTTAGCGAGGATTAGCTAATCACCACCCTCATGGACAACAAGGCAATTCCCACCTCACAGCAATTCCTGGACACGAACCAGTACTCCCACAGGAGTATTCTTCGCTACGAGAGAATCTTTGGTCATACCTGGGTGTCAACTGGGGGCGAGACTACCACCAAGGTGTGTGAGATTACCTTAACTGTAGGTTCAGTAGCAGAACTTATAGTGCGTGCGTGTGTATGCACAAACTCACTTACGTGTAGTCACCTATTTGTAGTTGCAGGGGTCGACTTTGAGCTTGGTCCTGCCAATTTTCAGATTCACTCGTCTTAGCCTCGTGGGCTCTATCGTATCTTCTCTTAAAACTGTGTATGGAACCTACCTCCACCACTTCTTCACAAAGATCATTCCAATTTCCGACCACTCTTGAGACAGAAGAAACACTTCCTAACATCCCAGTGGCCCGTGTGTGTATGTGTGTGTGTACTCACCTATTTGTGGTTGCAGGGGTCGAGTCATAGCTCCTGGCCCCGCGCGCGCGCGCGTGTGTGTGTGTGTTGTGTGTGTGTGTGTGTGTGTGTGTACTCACCTAATTGTGATTGCAGGGGTCGAGACTCAGCTCCTGGCCCCGCCGCTTCACTGATCGCTACTAGGCCCTCTCTCTCTCTGCTCTCTGAGCTTTGTCATACCTCGTCTTAAAGCTATGTATAGTTCCTGCCTCCACTATATCACTTGCTAGGCTATTCCACTTCTTGACGACTCTTGGACTGAAGAAATACTTCCTAACATTCCTGTGACTCGTCTGAGTCTTCAGCTTCCAATTGTGACCCCTTGTTTCTGTGTCCCCTCTCTGGAACATCCTATCTCTGTCCACAATATCTATTCCACGCAGTATTTTGTATGTCGTTATGTCTCCCCTGACCCTCCTGTCCTCCAGTGTCGTCAGGCCGATTTCCCTCAACCTTTCTTCATAGGACATTCCCCTGAGCTCCGGAACTAGCCTAGTTGCAAACCTTTGTACTTTTTTAATTTCTTGACGTGCTTGACCAGGTGTGGGTTCCAAACTGGTGCTGCATACTCCAGTATGGGCCTGACGTACAGAGTGTACAGTGTCTTGAATGATTCTTTACTAAAGTAATGGAACGCTATTCTCAGGTTTGCCAGGCACCCATATGCTGCAGCAATTATCTGGTTGATGTGTGCCTCCGGAGATGTGCTCGGTGTTATGGTCACCCCTAGATCTTTCTCCTTGAGTGAGGTTTGCAGTCTTTGTCCACCTAGACTATACTCTGTCTACAGTCTTCTTTGCCCTTCCCCAATCTTCATGACTTTACATTTGGCGGGGTTGAATTCGAGAAGCCAGTTGCTGGACCACGTATCCAGCCTGTCCAGGTCTCTTTGTAGTCCTGCCTGATCCTCATCTGATTTAATTCTCCTCATTAACTTCACATAATCTGTGAACAGGGACATTTCAGAGTCTATTCCTTCCATCATGTCATTCACATATACCAAAAATAGCACTGGTCCCAGGACTGACCACTGTGGGACCCCGCTTGTCATAGGCGCCCAATGTGATACCGCATCACGTACCATGACTCATTGTTGCCTCCCTGTCAGGTATTCTCTGATCCATTGCAGTGCCCTTCCTGTTATACGTTCCTGATCGGCCACGAATGTTGATACTGTGTTTCCTTATTGTGCCCATTGCACCCCTGCTTTTCACTGGGTTTATTTTGCACTTCCTGCCATATCTCTCGCACCAGTATGTTGTTATGGCAATGTGCATATTTGGGACTAGCCCCTCGAGTACCTTACAGGTATATATTATTATGTGGAAAATTTTACATAAATTTCAGTAATGTAAATAATGTATACAGTGTGTTGCTGATGATCTAAATTTAATTTTCGAGTGAAGAAAGAACCAGCAACCGTGGAGAGAGGCGGAGAGGAAGGACGCTATAATGGAAAAATAGGGGAAGACTGCTTACTATAATCGTTGAATGGAATCAGACGACAATTAAATAATGCAGTAATGTCCTCTACTGTAGAAGTGGAAGTAAATTTGTGTAAAACCACTATAATAGAATGGTAAGATTGGATCAATTGAAGGATGCCGGTGATTTCCCTGCAACACACTTTGGATGAGTAACACCTATTTTGTATAGTAGTTTTACGTTGACCTTCTAGCTGTCTAGGTAGCATTAGGTTGTGTTCCACCTCTGGTCCAAATGGTAAGTGTTAACACTAAGAATTTATTTAATTTGTCCACCATATGCTGTTATAGTGTAATATTAAGTGTAAAAGATCCTAACAAGTATTCACTTAAGTCACAAACAATTCGTACAGTCCACGAATGCAGTTTTACCAGAATTACTGGTTTTCTTAAATATTAATAAATAATTTTAGGTCCCACTTAGTGTGAGTGTGCTTTGATTATTATTATTATTATAATCAAGGGGAAGCGCTAAACCCGGAGGATTATACTGCGCCTGGGGGGGGGGGATGTGGAAGGCATTCAGGCTTAATTCGGGGAACTGGAGCACATCCAATTTCCTAAATCAAGAGCCCCTCACCAACATCAAGGAACCTTCCTTGAGGGGAGAGTGTGCTTTGAGAAGTGTGGGTATCGGAGGAGTCACTTTCCTGTGACCTATTGTAACTTAACTCCCACTTGCCTCAGAGGTGTAACAAAATTTGGTGAGTAATAATTATCTAAGTTGCATCTTACCCAAATTACATGTATGAACATAATAGTGAAGCTCATACACATAATTTCTCATAACTCCAGTGAGTACATATTCAAGACTTGAAGGCATTCCTAGTCATTTAAATGCTTTATTGGCTCTGTGTGCCGTAAACGATCTATATATTTGTTCAATCTTTGATATTTTGGTATTATTTCCCTTTTTTGAAGGTTCTTAATACCCACCCCCTTGTGGCTTAGCGCTTCTTTTTGATTATAATAATAATAATTAATACCCATCCCATTATTCTCCTGGCTGTCTTGACCTTTATCTTATTACGTTCTTTGAAAGAAAGATCACCTGACACAGTTATTCCCAGGTCTTTCAGGTGTTCCTTTTGTTCTATTTGATGATCCTCTTGAGTTTTGTGTATCATATTCCTTATGAGTGCTTCATTCTTTCCATACCTGTGAAAATTATTATTATTATTATTATTATTATGTGAGTAAATTACCTGCAGGAGATTTACAGGACATTATCTGAATTATTACCTGCAAGTAATTTAGGTGAGGTAAGTGGGGCTTAGTCACAGTAGGCCGCCAAACTGTCACTCCCTCGAAACCCACTCCTTACCACTCTCACCAAAAGCTAGACCTAACATTAAATTAATAGTTATAATATTAAAACCAGTTACTCTGGTAAATTGAAGTTGTGGACTGTAAGTGATTTAGCTTGCTGGGTACACAAAAATAATTGGTATTAACACTTACCATTTAATTTCTGGAAGACACTTAATGCTGATGGAACACATCCTAACGCTACCTCTACAGCTAGGATTTATGATGGCCAATGCATAAACTACTGTACATTATGGGTAAGCATCGCTCAGCTATGCTGTATTGTTGGGAAGGATTCATTGAAATCCTCTGTTTTTCCGTCTGTGAGAAATTAAGTGTATGAAATTCATTTACATACAGGTACAGTGGAACCTCAGTTTTCGTCATGAATTTGTTCCAGAAAGTCTGACAAAAACCAAATTCGATGAAAACTGAAGCAATATTTCCCATAAGAAATAATGTAAATCCAATTAATCTGCTCTGGACACCCAAAAGTATTAACAAAAAATACATTTTATAGAGAATAACTATAGTTTTACATATAGAAAACAGTGAGAAATAAATATAAAGGACAAATGAAATGGATAAATGAACTTTTAACATCACTTTTACCTTTATTGAAGACTCTTGGCGTATGGAAGATGGCAAGGAGGGGAGAGGGAGGAGAGGTTATCTCTACCACAATCACTACCACCCTTTACCACCATCACTGCCACCCTCTACCGATGAGAAACAAAACCTGACTGACTCAAAATGCGTGGGATGCTTTGTGTAGGCGTGGGCAGACACGTTCAGTACGGCAGACCACCATCAACTTGATGAAAACCGAGGTGAAGAACAAAAACTGGGACAAAATTTGAAAACCGAATTTGACGAAAACCAGGGCAAACAAAAACCGAGGTTCCACTGTACTCACCGGTACATGGTTGCAAGGGTCAGGTCCTATTTCCTGGGCTTTTCCCCCAACTTGCCGCTTGCCAGATTCACTCCCTTCCAGCCTCAAGGGCCCTATTATGTCTGCTCTTCTGTAATCCAAGAAGCATCCAATATGCCCAGCCTTGTCTTTCTTGTTTCATCTCTGTGACTGCCATAGAAATACAGCAGATTTGTAAGACTATTTTCCATCCCTAAATCTATTCTGGTATTCTGTCAAGAATCACCTCTCCATGTGCTCTAATGCCCCTTTCCTTACTATCTTTTACAGGACTTAAGACAGTATGCATATGTAAGATACTGGCCTATAATTCAGGGCCTCTTGTCTGCCCCCCACCCCTTTTTTTTGTACAAGGGGACTGCATTTGCCTTTTTCCAATACAAAAAAAGTGATTATATTAATAAATAACAATAGTAATGATGAATAAATTCATTTGCAGATAAAACCCTGCAATGATATTTACTAATTATCCTCTGAAATTTACTCTACCCATTTTTTTTTTATTAGGACTTTCTGATCAAACTTGGGTTACGACCAGGTCAGCAGGTGTTGGATGTAGGCTGTGGGACTGGTGGATCAGCCTTCTTCATGGCTAGATACTATGGTGTTTATGTTCATGGCATTGACCTCTCCTCCAACATGATCAACCTGGCTCAAGAACGCTTAGCTCGGGAGGATGTTAATGTCTCAGATAAGGTAACTGTGTGAGCAAGCTAGGAAAGCGAAGCTAGGTAAACAATACATAGATGTATGAAATAAATTCAGCAGAATATAAGCATTACACAGCAGAAAAGAATAAGTGCCACCACGGCCAATATCTGGGTCAGTGAGGTAATCAATTTCTAATGTTTTACCTGTTTATGGTAACTTGAGCTTCATAGCTATGATCTCCCCCACATCCATGTTTTGCTCCATTGTTTGACTTTGGTACTTATAATTTTCTGTTGCACAATGTCTTGTACATACATATATCTAGAAGCTTCAATAACAATAAGTTTCCCTTGTTGCTGTTATTGATTGAAGCTTAAGGTGATGATGAAGTGACTGAATCTTGTTCTGACAGGTGCAGTTCCAGGTGGCAGACATAACAAAGGTGCAGTTTGACACTGCCAGCTTCGATATTATCTACTCTCGAGACACTGTCCTCCACATCGCAGACAAGGAGGGACTCTACAAAACCCTTTATGTAAATCTTTGGTGCAAATTTACCCTTGTAGAGAAGGGCTAATAGGTGGTAATTGTCTCCAAAGGGTGAATGATATGCCCGTGGTATGGTTTATATGCAGGAAAAACTGTATTATCTGCTCCAGCAATACTATCTGCAACACTGAAGTTTTTACTATAGCTTCTAGTAGTAATAAATATAATTATATAGTAATAGCAGCACCAATATACTGTAGAATATTTATTATGCGAGTGCAGAAAGCAATTACATTCATCATTATTTTTGTGTTTGTGTGCCCCTCAACCTAACCATATTCTAATCTCTAGGACAAAATTTTCTATTCTACAAGTATGTAGAAGGAATAATGATATTCATAAAGAACCTGGGGAATGGAAGGCAATCATGTTTGACCTGAGGAAGAGGAAGGTAGCTCCAATTCATTGGCTCAAGAGCCCTTCACTGGCATCAAGGCACCCCTTTGAAATAAGAGAAATAAGCACTGTAGCACCAATGCTTTTGCACATCAGAAGCATGTGTGATACTCCTCCCTTTTACCAGCATATGCTGGAAAACTAACAGTATTACCAATCCTCCAGAGATGGCTGAAACCTGGTGGCACCCTCTTCGTAACGGACTACTGCAGAGGTGACCGCAAACACTCGCAGGAGTTCCTTGACTACGTCAAACAGAGAGGTGTGTGAACACTAGGAATGAACTAAATAATAATTGAGGTAGAAAACTTTTTTTTTAGATTCCTAGGTAGGCAATAAGCCCTTAGGGATCATATAATGCCTAGGAATGGTAAACAGTTAAGTTTCATCAGAGGAAAGGGATGTTAGTTTCAATTCCTTGGATTAAGAGCCCTTAACCAGGTTTAGAGCATATCCCCCTTTCCTCTTCTTAAAAGGAGAGGTGGACAAAGAATGAATGGGAATGAACTATGTCCTGAGTGTTTATTCAGATGGGCAAATGTAATAAGCAGGAAATAAAGCTACTCACCAGAATTATCATTAAAATATATGCCACAAACAAAACCACAGTGACAACAAAATAGAAGATCAATACTCTATACTTCAGTCTCACACTGACACTTCTTCAGCAAACTTTTTGCTGAAGAGAACCTATAAGATCAAACTATATAGCACAACAATCACCTTATCTTATTTCATTATCTCCAAGTGGGTTCCTTAGAGGCAATGAGTTTATTACACTTTTTCTGTTTGAATTAAGATATATCCTGCACTGTATATGCAACACTATTATTATTATTACAATCTAATATAAGAACTAAACCCAGTATGCAACACTAGAGTTACAGCCACAGGCAGTCTATTGTACAATAATAGAAGGTGGTGTTGTTCAGGGTACGACTTGCGGACAGTGCGGGAGTATGAACAGGTGCTGCAGGAAGCGGGCTACACTCAGGTAGAGGCTGTAGACCTAACCAAGACCTTCATCTCCATCCTCACTACAGAACTCATGTATTTTGAGCCCACCCGGGAGGCCTTCATCAAAGTAAGTACATATTAGTATTACACTAAAAAGTAATGAGGGATCATGTGGGTTATTTAACACTTTTCAAATAAGTAGGCAGCCCTATACTGAATATTATAAAAGTTGAACTGTATGATTCTCTTTATACAGTATGTTCTCTGAATTATTTCTGCACTATCCTCTTGAGTTATACAGCCTCTCCTCATTTAGCGATGTACTCGTTTACCGATGACTTGGGCTTACGACAGGCTCTCTGACCAAACCATACCACGGGCGGGATTGAACCCGCAGTCAGAGAGTCTCAAAACTCCAGACCGTCGCGTTAGCCACTGCGCCAGCTAGCTTCAATAAGATTCGTCCAACTAGGTGTATTTCTACACCATAGGAAGGTTAGCATAGGCACCACTGTGTCCACAAATGCAAGTTTTTACAGACGAATCTCCCGCTAGCATGGCCATGACGAACTCTAGCTCAAGTCCCTTCAAAGCTGTCAACATGACTCATGAAATCGTAATGACACAATTGCAAACAAACCATACCACGGGCGGGATTGAACCCGTGGTCAGAGAGTTTCAAAACTCCAGACCTTCGTGTTAGCCACAGCACCAACTAGCTTCAATAAGATTCGTCCAACTAAGTGTATTTCTACACCATAGGAAGGTTAGCATAGGCACCACTGTGTCCACAAATGCAAGCTTTTACAGACGAATCTCCCGCTAGCATGGCCGTGACGAACTCTAGCTCAAGTCCCTTCAAAGCCGTCAACATGACTTATGAAATCGTAATGACACGATTGCAAACAAACCATACCACGGGCGGGATTGAACCCGTGGTCAGAGAGTCTCAAAACTCCAGACCGTCGCGTTAGCCACTGCGCCAGCTAGCTTCAATAAGATTCATCCAACTAGGTGTATTTCTACACCATAGGAAGGTTAGCATAGGCACCACTGTGTCCACAAATACATTTGTGGTTTGTTTGCAATCGTGTCATTACGATTTCATGAGTCATATTGACGGCTTTGAAGGGGCTTGAGCTAGAGTTCGTCACGGCCATGCTAGCGGGAGATTCATCTGTAAAAACTTGCATTTGTGGACACAGTGGTACCTATGCTAACCTTCCTATGGTGTAGAAATACACCTAGTTGGACGAATCTTATTGAAGCTAGCTGGCGCAGTGGCTAACACGACGGTCTGGAGTTTTGAGACTCTCTGACCGCGGTTCAATCCCGCCCGTGGTATGGTTTGTTTGCAATCGTGTCATTACGATTTTGTGAGTCATGTTGACGGCTTTGAAGGGACTTGAGCTAGAGTTTGTCACGGCCATGCTAGCGGGAGATTCGTCTGTAAAAACTTGCATTTGTGGACACAGTGGTGCCTATGCTAACCTTCCTATGGTGTAGAAATACACCTAGTTGGACGAATCTTATTGAAGCTAGCTGGCGCAGTGGCTAACGTGACGGTCTGGAGTTTTGAGACTCTCTGACCGCGGGTTCAATCCCGCCCGTGGTATGGTTTGTTTGCAATCGTGTCATTACGATTTCGTGAGTCACTCTGACCAGTATGCATACCTAAATAATGTATATTAGAGCTAATTTCCTCTATTCTTTTTATTACAATATACAGTACACTACTGTATAAACATTTAAAAATATACTAAAAATGTTATAAATAGTGCATAGGTGACATTAAAACAATATCAAAGATGGTTGACACAAACCCGCTACCATTATAGTAAGCTCCTCGTTTAGTGACGAATTCGTTTACTGACGTGGTCTTAGGAACGGAACTCTGTCATTAAGTGAGGAGAGGCCGTACTGTATTACAGTAATACATATACAGTGGACCCCCGCTTAACGATCACCTCCAAATGCGACCAATTATGTAAGTGTATTTATGTAAGTGCGTTTGTACGTGTATGTTTGAGGGTCTGAAATGGACTAATCTACTTCACAATATTCCTTATGGGAAAAAATTCGGTCAGTACTGGCACCTGAACATACTTCTGGAATGAAAAAAGTTCGTTAACCGGGGGTCCACTGTATTACCTTCTCTTTGTGGATATCATTCATTATATTATTTCTTGGCACATACCATTCCTGTTCCCTACTTGCTTGCATTGTTTCTAAAAGACATGACTTGTGACTATGTACAGTGGACCCCCGCATACCGTACGCATCGCATACCGTTCAATCCGCATACCGCTCGCTTTTATCGCAAAAATTTTGCCTCGCATACCATCCAAAAACCCGCTCGCCGCTCTTCGTCCGAGACGCGTCCAATGTGCGCCCTTAGCCAGCCTCACATGTGCCGCCGGTGGCATTGTTTACCAGCCAGCCTCCGCGGTAACATCCAAGCATACAGTCGGAACATTTCGTATTATTACAGTGTTTTGGTGATTTATCTGGAAAAAAAAAGTGACCATGGGCCCCCAAAGAAAGCTTCTAGTGCCAACCTACAGGAATAAGGGTGAGAATTTACTATAGAGATGAAGAAAGAGATCATTGATAAGTATGAAAGTGGAGTGCGTGTCGCCGACCTGGCCGGTTGTACAAGAAACCCAAATAAACCCAAATCGCTACTATTGTGGGCAACAGAAAGGCAATCAAGGAAGCTGTTCTTCCCAAAAGGGTTTAACTGTTTTTTCGAAACGAGATCGCAAGTGATGGAAGAGTTGAGAGACTCTTATTGGTGTGGATAAATGAAAAACAGGTAGCAGGAGATAGCGTCTCTCAAGCGATCATAAGCAAAAAGGCTAGGAAGTTGCTGAGGATTTAATTAAAAAAATGCCTGCAACTAGTGAAAGGATGTGAGTAAATTTTAAAGGGCCGCAAAGGTTGGTTTGAGAGATTTAAGAAGGTAGGGGCATACATTAGTGTGAAAAGGGCCCATGGTGAGGCTGCCAGTTCGGACCACAAAGCAGCTGAAAAATTATGTGCAGGAATTCAAGGAGTACTGGGACAGTGAAGGACTGAAACCTGAACAAGTGTTTAATTGTGATGAAACAGGCCTGTTTTGGAAGAAATGCCAAGCAGGACCTACATTACTGAGGAGGAAAAGGCACTCCCAGGACATAAGCCTTTTGAAAGACAGGCTTACTTTGTTGATGTGTTACAATGCTACTGGTGATTGCAAAGTGAAGTCTTTTTAGTGTATCACTCTAAAAACCCCCCAGACCGTTCAGGAAAAGAATGGCCCTCAAGGAGAATTTGGTGTGCGTGGAGGGCAACAGTAAGGCATGGGTCATAGGGACTTTTTCTATGAATGGTTACACCTTTGCATTTGCCCCCAATGTGAAAGATTACCTAACTGAAAAAAAATTTTAGAACTTAAGTGCCTCCTGGTGTTAGACAATGCCCCTGGTCATCCAAACAGATGTGGCAGAGCGACTTTATGGGGACATGAAATTCATTAAGGTGAAGTTTTTGCCTCCTAATACCACTCCTTCCTGCACCCCATGGACCAGCAGGTTTTGCAAACTTCAAAAAAAACTGTACACAAAAGCTCTGTTTGAAAGGTGCTTTGTAGTGACTCAGAAAATCAACTGACTCTAAGAGAGTTTTGGAGAGGGGCACTTTAATATCCTCAATTGGGGTAAACCTTATGGGTTTAAGGCTTGGGAGGGAGTGACTAAGAAGACCTTGAACTCTGCTTGGAAGGAAACTGGGGCCCAGAATGTGTAGACAAAAGGGATTTTGAAGGGTTTGAGGCTAACCCTGAGAGGATTATGCCAGTTGAGGAATCCATTGTGGCATTGGGAAAGTCCTTGGGGTTGGAGGTTAGTGGGGATTGATGTGGAAGAGTTTGGTGGAGGAGGACAATGAAGAACTAACCCTGAATGAGCTGATAGATCAACTTCAACAGCAAGAGGCCAGACCTGAGGAGGAGAGGGGAGAGAGAAACTGAAGAAGTTGCCTACTACAAAGATTAAGGAAATCTGTGCAATGTGGCTGAAAGTGAAACCTTTATGGATGAGAATCACCCTCACACAGCTATTGCAAGCCGTGAGGTGATTATTACACTGACACTGTTGTGAAACATTTAGGGAGTCATAAAGGAACGAGAGGTACAGGCCACTATGGACAGATATGTTGTGCGAAAGAAGTCCAGTGACTCTGAAGTGGTCCTATGGCATTAAAAGAAGAAGGGAAGTAATCCCAGAAAGGGGGACTTGACACCTCAAGTTTTTAATGGGAAAGGGGGTTCCCCTTCTAAACACTAACACTCTCTCTCCCCTCCTCCCATCCCATCAATCATCACCAGATCTTCAATAAAAGTAAGTGTCATGTAATTGTGCATGCCTTTTTCAGTTTGTGTGTATTAAAATTAACATTTCATGTGGTAAAATTTTTTTTTTTTTTCATACTTTTGGGTGTCTTGCACGGATTAATTTGATTTCCATTATTTCTTATGGAGAAAATTCATTCGCATACCGATCATTTCGCATAACAATCAGCCCTCTTGCACGGATTAAAGTCGCTATGCGGGGGTCCACTGTACTTTATTTCCTCATGATAGTTTCTTCATTTTGTATTAATTTGATTCCTTCCAGCTTTTATCATACAAATATATAAGCCCATATGGGAAATCAAACATCAACGCAGCAATTCTAATTATTAATACATATTCACAAAAAAAAAATGAAACAGTTTGGGTTATTCAGTGCTGTAAGTAAGCCTAAGCCAGGCAGTTTATTCACTGTTTTAAGCCTTCTGGAGATTGTGGTAGCATATTACATTCAGTTATGCTACTACTTCTGGCAATCAATTATTTGTGTTTACCACTCAATTAAAAATACAGTGGAACCTCTACTTATGAGTTTAATCCATTCTGTGACCTTGCTTAGATCTGAATTTGCTTGTTTGCAGAGTCAATTTTCCTCATTTAAATTAATTGAAATGCAATTAATCCATTCCAGCTCTCAGGAGGCACGACAAGATACTTCAATATTTCGCTAATATCATTTATACGGCTTATTTATCTATCACAATTCATCTAATATGACATAATAAACAATATAAATAACATAGAAACCTGATATATACTCTAGAATGAATAAAATATGTCATTACGTATGTGGCTACATAGTGGTATCGGCGGTGTCGGCGGCAGATGAGAGTTTGTCTGGAGACGGACAAAATACTCCTTGAATATTTCGCTAATATCAACTCTACGGCTTATTTATCTATCATAGTTCATCTAATATGACATAATAAACAATATAAATAACATAGAAACTGGATATTTACTCTAGAATGAATAAAATATGTCATTATGTGACAAGTGGAGGCGGCCACAACCACTCCCGCACTGTTGTGGTAATCACTGCCATCTACTTTCGAAGCCGTCTGTTATAATTATTATTATATAGTACCTTATTATTATACATGTATTATTTTTTTTTTTTTTTATTATCACACTGGCCGATTCCCACCAAGGCAGGGTGGCCCGAAAAAGAAAAACTTTCACCATCATTCACTCCATCACTGTCTTGCCAGAAGGGTGCTTTACACTACAGTTTTTAAACTGCAACACACCGGCCATATCCCACCAAGGTAGGGTGGCCCAAAAAGAAAAACGAAAGTTTCTCTTTTAAATTTAGTAATTTATAAGGGAGAAGGGGTTACTAGCCCCTTGCTCCCAGCATTTTAGTCGCCTCTTACAACATGCATGGCACATATTATATTATTATATTATTATTATTATTATTATTATTATTATTATTATTATTATTATTACAATATAAATAATTTGTAATTTTTATTCACACAAAAAATAGAAGATTTACTTTTATGCAGACTACTGCATTATTGTAATAATTGTATAAATAATGTCAACCCATTCATGATTGCATATTGGAATGGACAGTGATGTCATTTGTTTACTCTTGAACATCACCAAAGATTCCTACATTTCTGCCACTTTGAGCTCAATTTCAAGGTACTTTCTGTTGTGAAACCAATCAAAATCATATCTATTTCTGTAATGTATCTTCCATTCTATCAAATGAGACCAAAAAACGATAATACAACCATAAAAACCATACGAAAATACTGCTAAGGCTGAGAAGTGAACTCCATTATTTATGGTTCGATTTCTTTCATTTTTGGTGTATTTTAAGAAGCATCTTTCCATCATACATTGCCAAAGTTTCAATAGTCCAACAAACAACTGAGATCCAATTCCCTAGATGAAGAACCCCTCACTAGCATCAAGGAACCTCCCTTGAGGCCCGCTTGCATCTGGAAGGAAAAAATCAACCAAGCGACGTCTCATATCTGGAAAAACTTGCACGTGGATGGACTCGTAAGTAGAGGTTCCGCTGTACGTATTATATTTTGCTTCAACGAATTAAAATCACTTGACTAATAGAAAAGTTTATCAGTGGAGACAAAAAGCATAATGTACTGTAGTGGTACTAATACTGTTATAAAGGTATAAGGGATGAGCTTTGAACATTGCACTGAGGCAGCTGGAGGCAGTGGAGATGTCATATCTGAGAGCTATAAATACGTGTGTGAACAAGTCTAGGGTAGGGGATCATCCCGAAAAGTGTCGGAGGATGTGGAAGAGGTTTAAGTGGTAAAGGTTTGAGCATCCAACAAGTGTGTGAGAGCATGTTTGATTAGATTAACTGGAGATAGATGAGTTTTAGGATTTCATGTGCTGTATGTGTGTGAGCAAGGTAACAATTATGAAGGGATTAAAGAAAAGCTGTTAGCTAGACTTACTCTTGTATAGTGCCTGCACTCTGAAGGATTGAGGGATAAGGGGTCATTTGAAATTTGATGAATAAATGACGTTTCCTTCTTGGGTCACCCTATCTTGTTGCAAGAGCCAGTGTGGTTAAAAGAAATACACAAAAAGTTTTGCATGTTAGGCTTGACTGTGCAATGTTTGTCTGAATCGTGACTGCCATGACCTTCCATAATAGCTATGTGCATTCCAAACATAATGAACAGCCATCAAACCTGGTGGCTGTTCTCAATGATTATACAGTATTAGTGCAGTGCCGTATGACCCTTGTGCATTTAGTGCTTAGATTTGATTATAATAATAATGTGCAGTATTAGTGAAAAGTACTAAACCTGTAGGGGTCACAGCTCTTGGGGAATGGGAAGCATCAAGTTTGATGTGAGGAAGGGAAGGACAGATCCAATTCCTGGGATCAAAAGCTCTTTATTTGCATCAGGAAACCAAAATACAAAAGGCCGAAGAATTTCCCATTACAGATGACCAGAAAACTTCCCAAAGCATACAGCCTCATGTTTTCCAAAACAAGCAAAGCAATGTTTGGTTAGGTTCCTAATGCATACGGTTTATGATTATGTTATTTTATCATTAAATACACTTCTTGTTTTGGATAATGTTGGCAATTCTTGCAGGACTACAGCGAGGAGGAATACAATGAAATTGTAGACGGCTGGAAGAGGAAGGTGATCCGTTGCACTGCTGGGGACCAGGCCTGGGGCATGTTTCTGGCCATCAAGTAGACCTTGTAAACTCCTCACTATTAATCCAACTGTTTTCCCAATCCTATTAAATGGTGGTCCCATAATCCTTTTAAATGGTACTAATAGGATGATCACCTATCAATACACCTGTTCAGTCTTACAGATTTGAGCTAAGACTTGAACACATTACTCCAAACACTTTTACAAGAACAAGATATATAAAATCTCAACTGGAATGCAACACTAAGTACCTAAAGTTCATACAGCAAGATGACAGAAATTAACAGGCTACCATAAAATTAAAATGAATTATAGTATTTACTTCACAAACAGAACTTGATATGAATACAGTTCCAAAGGTTATTTATAACATAGACCAGAATTGTAATATACAGTTGTAGTGTAAAAGATCTGCAGCAGATAAAAAAAAAAGGAAAAAGAAAAGAAAGTTGAAGATATGACAATGGCTACCAGAACTAAGATAAATCATGACTTGAATGGGTCATATAGCACCTGAGGAATGGTAGGTAATAAGGTTTAATCCAAAGAAGGGGATGGTAGTTCCAATTCCCTGGATCAAAATTATCATTGGAAAATACTAAACCCATAAGGGCCATACACCACCTGGGGAATGGGAGATGATCAGGGGTGAGCCAAGGAAGAGTGTAGCTTAAATTCTTTAGATCAAAAGCCTTTCATCAGAATCATAACACCATTTCCATCGCTTGAAGGGTGCTTGAATAATTATACTGTATTTATATAAAGTGATAAACCCTTATGGGTTTGCTGCTTGCAATGCTGTATATTTGTACTGAGTGTACCAGCAGCTGTCAGTGACTACACACACTGGATTCACTTGCTATTTGCTGTTTGATTTTAAGCAGAAGCGTGCGGTCGCTCGCCGTGTCATCCGTGACACTAAATGCACTTGCTGGCGAGATTATGTTTCCACCATCACCTCTGCTTCCTCTGAGTGCAGTCTGGAAAAAAGTGAGAAAATTGAGTGGCAAATACTCTCCTGACCCGGCTCCTGTTCTACGGGTTGCCGGTGTTGATATAGCAAACCCTCTTGACGTTGCCATTGAAATTGGCACTCATCTGGTCCGTATTTCCTGGGGGCTCCATCTATGCCCCTCGTTTCTTTCCTCAAAGTCTGCCAGAGAGTTAGTACCCTTGGACTTTTCTTCTCTCAGAGAAGAACAGTATAATGTGCCTTTTACACTTCGGGAACTGGAGGCAACACTCTCAGCTTGCCGATCGTCGGCAGCTGGGCTTGACGACATTCATATTCGGATGTTACAACATTTACATCAGTCAGCCCTTGTAGTCCTCTTACACCTCTTCAATCTTATTTGGTCACCAAGGAGTTCTTCCCCAGCTGTGGAAATCTGCCATTGTTCTCCCTTTCCGCAAGCCGGGTACTACGGGACATGATGCCTCCCACTATCGTCCCATTACTCTTACTAGTGCAGTTTGCAAAGTAATGGAACGTCTGGTAAATCGACATTTAATGTGGTATTTAGAGCACACAATAGTCTCTCCACTAGTCAATATGGCTTTCGTAAGGGCTGATCTACCATAGACCCCTTACTACGCTTGGATACGTATGTTCGTAATGCCTTTGCGAATAACCACTCAGTTATTGCCATATTTTTTGACCTTGAGAAGGCATATGATACAACTTGGAGGTATAATATTTTGACCCAAGCCCACTCCTTTGGCCTCCAACGCAATCTACCATCCTTCCTTAAGAACTTTTTAACTGGCAGACATTTCTGTGTTCGAGTCAATAATGTGCTCTCCTCGGACTTTGTCCAAGCTGAAGGTGTCCCTCAGGGATGTGTTCTGAGCACAACACTTTTTCTCCTTGCTATAAATGATTTGGCCTCTGTTCTTCCATCCAATATTTGGTCATCACTCTATGTAGATGATTTCGCTATTGCTTGTGCAGGTGCTGACTGTCACCTCATTACAGTTTCTCTCCAGCATGCAGTCGACCGTGTTTCCATTTGGACCACCAAGCATGGGTTTAAGTTTTCCAGTACCAAAACTCACCAAATTACTTTCACTAGACGCTCTATCATCTCTGATCATACTTTGTACCTCTATGGCTCCCGTATCCCTGAACGTGATACAGTCAGGTTTCTAGGCCTTCTCTTTGATCGTAGGTTATCCTGGAAACCCCACATTACCTCTCTGAAGGCAACTTGTCACAGCCGGCTGAACCTTCTTAAAACCCTTGCTCATCTTTCATGGGGAGCTGATCATCGAACTCTCCTTCTCCTACATTCAGCCCTCATTTTATCGAAACTCGATTATGGTAACCAGATCTATTCAGCGGCCTCTCCTGCTACTCTCTCTAGTCTTAACCCCATCCATCACCAAGGATTACGTTTATGCCTTGGTGCTTTTTGCTCTTTCCCTTGTTGAGAGCCTCTATGCATTAGTGAATGCTCCATCCTTGTCTGATCTCTGTGATGCCCATTGCCTTCACCACTATGTACGCTCTGACGATCTCTGCAATCCTTCCATTTATAGAATGGTCCCTCTTCAAGGGGGGCTCCTTGGCGTGGTGAAGAGGCTCTTGGTCTGAGGAATTAGACCTGTCAGTCTTCTTCCTCAGACCGAACTTAATTATCCCCCAATCTCCCCTACCCTATCCCATCCTCCCCTTTTTCCTTTCCTCCTCCTCCTCCCCACCCCTCCCTTTTGCCCTTCCTCTTCTTGTCCTTTGGGATTTCTCCCACAGGCACGCTAGTTCCTAGGTAGGGGAAAGGATACCGGGGTCCATCCCATTCCGTTGAGGTTCTTGGCGGTGGCGTAGTTTGCCGTGGAATCTGGATCGCCTGGGGATGTCCCGATCCCTCTCCGGTATCCCGGAGTAGCTTTGGGTGTCTTTCGGGCGACGGGTGTATCTCTGGAAGCCACCTTTCGGATTCCGGGGGTGGTGGCCGAAGGATGTATGCTTTGTGGCGGATACCCGGCCGCCCTCTCTTTTGTCCACCGAGGTAGCTCGGCAGATGTGAGGCTGCTATCCCGGATTGCTGGTTTACTGCATGAAGGGTAGGGTATGGCACAGGTTCCATGCTGCATCTGTGCTACTAGCGGTGCTGAGGTCCTCTTGGGCGCGGAGGGAGATTTCCGGCCCTTTCATTCCTCCTGGGAACTATTCCTCCCCACTCCCCCCTTTTTTTATTCTTTTTTTTTTCTTTTTATTTTCTTTTCTTCTTTCTTTTATTTTCTTAAAAACAAAAAGCAAAGGAGTAACCTAACCATGGAGAACCCAATCCATGAACCCACTACCCCTGGGCCCCTTCTTGATACCGCACCCCATTCTGACCCTGCCTTGTTTTTAGACCACTCTTCGGACACTCTTGATGCCCCTGTACCTCTTGCTGGTGCTGTTTCCTCACCCGCTTCAGGTACCGGGGCTTCGACTGACTCCTTCAATTTGTCTGAACTCCGCTCTCCTTTGGCTATGCTTCCGGCTTCTCCCTCTACGGTACGGCAATTTTCGAATCGCCCGCCCATTTTACGCCGGACCAACTCCAGTCCTACTCCTAAACGCCAACGTCAATCTCCTGATGATGCTCCTTCATTACCTTCCCATTCTACTCGGAAAAGACCGACACGTCATGCACTCCCTCTCCACGCTCAGTTTCCGACCACACAATGGACTAAATTCTTTACTTTAAGACCAACTTCTTCTTCTGCCTACCTTTCTGACCATAGTATTGGCAAAGCGCTCCTGCGTCATGTTGGTAGAGATATTTCATTTCATGCTCTCAAGAGCGGTACGTGCATCGTCACTGTCCAGAATGCTACCCAAGCTCATGATCTTTCTCTCCTTTCGCATATAGATACTACTCCTATCACTTTTGAAAAACATCTTTCTCTCAATTCTTGTAGTGGTACTGTCATTCTGCCCCATACCATAGTCCAACAGAATTTCCAGTGAAAGTTAAGACACATGTGCAACATCTGGATATCTTTATTGTAGTAGACGTTTTCGCCATCCGTGGCTTATCAATACAGATTCCAGGACATAATAGAAGACAGTAAACTATTACAAAAGAGGTAATCAGTCCCTGGCCTTGAGTTAGTGTCACAGCATCGTGGTGGAGGAGATCTGGAGCAAAGTGCAAGAAATGCTGGCGCTTTTTAAGGCGTCATGAATGACGGGCACAGACGGTATTTTAACTTTCTTGCACGAATTTCCAGTCATGTGGCAATGACATTCTTGATACAGCTGAACTCCAGATCTCCATCCTCACAGTAGACACTTATGTCCTTCCTGCCGTGGCGGAGACGTTACCCTTGAAATGTAGCTCGTTTAACCTTGTGACAGCCAAGAATTCCCGTCTCGTATATGTCGTCGGGACATCGTTACAAGTTCGAAAGGTGATACTACACCGCAAACAGTGTAGAAATGCTGGCGTTTGGGTCCAACCCAGCCCCCCCCGCCCCAACCACTCCGAATCTTGCAGATCTTTGGCCGAATGCCCAGTCTGTGATGCTGACGACCATTCTAATACATCTTGCAGTCAACCTCCATCTTGCTTTAATTGTAATGAAGCCACCTGTACTCCCGCCGTTGCCCGGTCTACTTAAATGAACGTGAAATCCTTTTTCCTCCCCCCTTTCCCCCCCCCCCCCCCCCCCCCCCCTTTTTTTTTCCTCAAAGGGGCAAAAAGGTCCCCCTTATGCTAGGGGCATTTTACTCATCTCGCCTAAAAGGGGAGACTACCCGTGTTTCCTATTCTCGTTTTTAAAAAACATCCCCCCCCCTTTGGGCCCCCAACCCCCCTTCTGAAAGCCCCCTTTTTGTTACCCCCCCATAGCCACCCCGGAATCTAATCCTTTTGCTGTCCTTGGCTCTGCGCCCCGGGATTTAAAAAATTTCAGTCTTTTTCACATTTTTGCGCCCTTCCTCCCCAACCCCCCAGTATCGAAAAGACCTCTTACGACACCAAAACCCCCAAACGCCCCCTATTCTCGGGAAGTCCAAAAAATCCCCCTTGCTAAAATTCTTTTTCCCCTTTCCTTCCCTTTTCCACCTCCACACTTTTACCTTTCATTTCCGGGGCCTTTGTTTTTTTCCCCTCTCTCGGGCCCCTTATTACAAGTGTGGAGATTACCCTCCTCCTCTTACTATGCCTTCCACCCCCGTCCCCTCCCAAGTTTCCCCCCCACTTTTCTCCCCCCCACCCCCCCCCAGGGTTTCCCTGCCCCCCCCCCCCCCTTCTTCCCCCTTTAAAATTTTTCCTTCTCCAGTCCTTTTCCCAAAACCCCCTTTTTTCCCCCTTTCTAAACTTTTGGTTAACCAGGGCCAAAAATTCGGGAAAATTTTTACCCCTTTTTCCCCCTTTTAAAATTCCATTTTTTTTGGTTTATTTTTTTTTTTTTGGAATTTTTTGGGGAAAAATTTAAAAAATTTCTGAAATATATCCAAAAAAGGAAAAAACCTCAAAAACCCCCCCCCCCCCCCCCCCCCCCCCTTCATTCCCCCCATCTTCCCAAACCCCTTTCCCCCCCCAAAACCCCCCCCCTTTCCCTCTTAATCCAAAACCCATTTTTCAAACCCCCAACCATCCCCCCCTTTCCCCAAAATTTTCCACCCTCTTCATTTCCCATTGGTATAGCCCTCATAACAAACCCCCGGTTTTTCCCCTGTTGGTCTTCTTACAAAAAACCAAAAAAAAACACTCGGCTTTTTTCCCCCCTATCTCAACAAAATTTTAAGTATTCCGGATCCTTTCTCAAAAAGGGCCCTTTAAAGAAAGGCCCTTCTTCTCCCAAAAGATCCCCCAAACGGGTCAATTTTTTGCCCATACCCGCGATTACACTGCACCCGTATCCATTTTAAAAAGGGGTTTAAAATATGTTTTTTTATACTCTCCCCTTTCTGGGCATTTTTACCCCAGATTTTCCCTTTTCTTTTTTCCCCTTACCACCCCCAATTTCTGTTATTTGGGTTGATTTTAACGCCCCCCTTTTCCTCGGGGGGCCGGGTCTTTGTACTCACGGGGCCCATTTTGGAGGTTTTTCTCGCCTCTCCCCCCCTCCATTTTTTAAAAATACGGGTCTCCTCCCCCATTTTGACCCCTCTTTACTCATACTCCCCCTTGCATCGATCTATCAGTTTTTGCTCTTCCCCCCATGCACTAGACTTCCCCGGTCTGTTTTACCGGACTTACTTTACAGCGATCATTTTTAAACATTCTTACATCTCCTTTCCCTTTTTACCACCTTTCCGTAGCCCTCCCCTGGGAATTTTATCGGGGAAAATTTGGGGTCTTTACTCGGGAACCACTGCTTTAGTGAGGTTCCTTCTTTATCCCTTTCCCTTTATGAGCTCCCACACCTTTCTCGATGTCAGTTTTTACCCCAGCTTTCATTTTATACCCCAAACCCCAAAGGGAGGGATTCTCAGAAGTGGTGCCTTGGGGGTCCCTGCTTGTGCTCTGGGAGTATGTTTTAAAACCCCGGGTGCCCTGGGGCCCGGTACCGGTACAATAGAAATTTCGAGAGACTTCTTATTTTAAGCAGAAGCGTGCGATCGCTCGCCGTGTCCCT